GTGCCTTCCGCGTCCTCGAGCCTGCCCTTTCAGCTGTTCCCTCGACGTGACCTTAAGTCACACGTAGCTAACTGGGCTCCCAGGCCGTCGGAGAGGAGCCGCTGGGTCCCCGCCTGACCCAGTGGGTAACCAGGCAGCCAGGGAGGCTGGCGGCAGGTTCTAGAAGCCGCCCGAGAACTCTGAGCCAACTGTAGCTCCTGCCTGAAGCTGCCTTTAGGAATGCTGGCAGCGGGTTGACCCCCAGCGTTCGGTGTAAGGCAGAACGGTGACTTCGGCGGTGACTTCCGCGTCCTGCTGCGTGTTTGCAGGGTCCGGGCATCTGGACATAAACGAAGAGAAGACGAGGGATGTGAACTCGTCCACGGGCGCATGGCCTCACCTCAGAACTGGGTCAAGGAGGGGCCGACTCCTGGCATCGCCTGCCGAGGGGCATGGCCAGGCCGCGCCCGCAGACGAGGCCTCCTAACTTGACGGTTGACTGCAAGCACAGACCGACCGACCGCCTGCCCTGTAGACGGAGCAGAAAGGATGACTTCGGTTCCTAGTCATTAGAAGCTGTTGGAGGATTCTGTTTAAACATTTTAAGACGATTTAGAAACACGAGGCACATTTTGGTGGGAAAGTGACTAAAAGACAAGAAGCTTTTGCTTTCTGTGTGAAAACCTAAATACATAGGTGTGGCTCATGCTAGATGGGAGTTCCCACCTGTAAGGGTCAAATTCAGGATAAAATCGAAAAGCGTTTGAAAATCTACTCAATCAGTGCTAAGTATTGAGGATGCAAGATGAATTGGACAATTTTTTTTTCATTAAGACGTCTACGATTTCATAAGGAAAAAAGAGAACATGACTTGTGGAGAGAACAATAGCATAGATCTGGCAGATTTTAAGGAGAGTAAATGCAATATGTAGTCCGGTTTGACAGGAAAGTAATGCCATGGTAGAAGGGCGTGGTGAGAGATAAACTCAAAGGATGTAGTTAAAGAGATTGTGAATGGCCCTGTGGACTCAGCTGACTGAAGAGATGAGGAGTCGTCGTAAATATGAACTTGGTGCTGGAGCAATTGACTGTCCACAAAGGAAAACATTAAAGTATTACCTGGCATTATACACAAAAATAAACAGGTAAGATGTAAACATGAAAGACAAGGAATTAAATATAGTTCTATGTGAAAATATGAGGTTGTACATTCATGACTTAGGTTGTCAGAAGGATTGCATAAAACATTAAATAAACAGACGTGTTAGTGGG